TTTAACTATAGTAATATTTTATTTGGTTTTTGCCTCAACCAAGGCAAAAGGAAAGCAGAGATAAGTCTCCTTTTGTGCTGAAATACTGAAGAGAAAGATACGATCTACTACCCTATATGAGTGTTCTGTCATTCACAGGCAATACTGACTATATATTCCACTTCTCTTTTCCAAAAAGGGAAGGAAACCTCTACCAGAACAGTTTGATGAATTCTAGTGAGGTAAATGATGTACAACTGTGAATCTTTGAAACACTATGCATTCCTCATAATGACAACAGTAGCTTGTATTTCTATGGAATTTGTTTCACCAGAATGGTACATTTCCTTCTGCAAATAAAAAGCATGATTCTGAACAACATCCCCGTGAGGAAGGCAGGTTTGATCTCCCTGGCGTGAAGGACAGACAACAGGCCACGGAAAGAGATGGTCCTCACAATGGAAGAGGGTGTTAAGGAAAAGTGTGGCAACATGATGTACTTGCAGATTCCACAACCTAATAACAAAAAATGGACCACAGTTTTTTCTCTCCATCAAATAAAACACATTTTGAAATATTTATTGTCTAGTCAGATGAAGCAGGACATTCCAGCCTGAAAATAAATAAATTACTATCACGCACGATGGATAACATAGCACAAAATAAGGGTTTTTTTTTCTTTTTCTTTCCTGTATTTCTGCTGTACACTGGAAACCACTTCACTATACATAGAATGATTAAGCCCTAATGAAGCATTCAGGAAAAAAAAGGGCCTAAGAGATTATGAACCAGAGTGCTGTAACTAGCTCACCAATGACCTTATCCCCCCACAGTGTGTTACAAAGCATATTTACATATATTACTTTATTTCATGTCTTCAGTAACTCCAAGTTAGCCCAATTATTCCTATTTTACAGGCAAATAGATCAAGGCCTAGACTGGATAATTAACTTGACTGAGGTCACACAGTTGGTTAGTCGAGACTTGAGCTAATATCATCTGAGTCTGAGGGTAGGCTCCTTCCACCTCACCATGGTTGCCTTGCAATGAACAACGTCCAGGTTAGCCAAATCCAATCTGCCATCATGATACAGAGCCGGTCCAAACAACAGAGTCGAGCTATTTTGTCTTCTAATGCAGTGTTTCTCAAACTGTGATCCATTTTTATTAGAATCACCCAAGAAGCTTGATAAAAATGATGGAAATTCCTGGAAATTCTGTTCAGTAGGTTTGGAGCAATGCTCTGGAATCAATGTATTAAATTCACACTCCAGATGATTCAGACAATCCTTTGGAATACTTGATGTGGCCCAATTTCCATGGCTATTGTTCAAACTTTCCAATTTTTGTGATAGTGTTGCCTGTGTAGATTTCCTCCTCCTATTTGTTTTAATTTCAGAAGCCATAAATGGTACCATAGTAGGAGGAAAGCCCTTCTGCCAACTTCTAAGGGCAATGCTCAGTTTGATGCGAAATATCTACATGGAACAAAAAATAGACATTGATCACAGTCCCAAATGCCATAGGCTTTTACTCTGAGGTACTTCTGGGATTTACTTGATATTTGGATCTCCTTTGTTTCTAAAAGTGGGATTTGCCTTTATTTCTTCCATAGCTTTCTCCTCCCCCACCAAATAGAAACCTTAGGGTAGCAGGTGATGATGAGATCAATATTACTGTGATTCAGGTGGGGTGAATTCATCCATTAGTTACTTAAGTACTTAATGATCATCATAGATTTGTATAAATTTATTAAGGAAAAAAGAGGCCGGAAATATGAAGTCCCATCAAAATATCTTTGTTTTTGGCATTTTAGTGACCTGGAAAATCTACATCCTGAGGATTCCAGTTACAGTGACAATGTGAATGAAATGAGAGCTGATAAATAATTTTCCACGTGTTCTGCAAGTGCTGTTGATAAACTGAATGGATAAAGTCAGGCTTTAAAGCTTGTCCATGTCCCTTTACACCTTGTCTGATTCAACTGAGGGAAAATTGAGGGCTGAGATCTCCAAATAAGGAGGATGATGCTCCAGGCAAGGCCACGGTCTCTTCTGAGAAGGTGATAGGGAGAGCTGGGCTGGAGTGCCCCCTCTGTGCTTTGATCTGTGCTGAAATAGGGTGGGGTGAACTGTCGTGGGTTGTAATTGTAGTACTTATAGTGACTGGGTAGATGATGGCACGACGTAGGGAGACAGGATGTACTGAAGTAGACAGAAACGGGGTACAAGAGGAGGGCTGGAATGAAGAGTTTAGTCTTGACTATGTTGAAACCATGAGCTACTATCCTGGTGGATATGTCATATAGGCAGCTGGATCTGGGGCTGGGGCTGAGAGGGGCGGTCTGGGTTGGAGATGTGAGTGTGAAGTTATAAGCATGGAAAACCACCGAGGCACCGTACATGGTAACGCCTGAGGGTGTATGAAGTGAGGAGGAAAGAAAGAATGAGCACGGAAGAATCCAGTGTTTATCACTGAACAATCTTTAGCAGAGAAGGAGCGACTAATGAAACAAAGAAAGTAGGCATTTATGTTATTACAGAAGGCCTCTACTGATGGGCTATTGGATTGTTTCCTATCTTTTGCAATAAATACTTTCGTATGTACTCATTTCTCCCATCTGTATCTTATCTCTGTAGGATAAATACCCAAAAGTGGAATGGCTGCATAATACATATGTCTCATTTTGAATGTTGAAGTGTTGATGTTTGAAAGAAAAGGTTCTCAGAAAAGCCACCAAATGTAGACAGCATAGTTAACCATATTTACTGTGGCATTTGATGGGCGTGGTTAAAAAATTTGCTATCTCCCTGTAATGTAATACCCTATGGCCATAAGAAAGAATGAGGGAAGGGAAAGAAGGCAGACTTACTTTTCACAATTTTGAACTATTTAAATTTTGTGCCATTCACATATATTACCTATATTTGAAAAAATAATTTGTACTTCTACACAGCACTTAGTAAAACCAAGTGACCCGAAGATCAATTTGCCTTTTCTTTCTGAGAGCAACACCACAGGTTTCTGATGGACTTCTGCATACCTGGGTTTTTGCATTATGGATATACCCAGTTAGATATTGGATTTCACGAAACCAGAATACAGAGACTTGCTCTAGAAGTGGCAACGGTCTGAACACATAGAGCTTTACTCATCTAGAGTCCAAGCTATAAATTTTGGAATTTATTATTTTGCCGCTTTTATTATTGGTGAATAAATCTACTTTATTTTGTTTACATTGGAGAGGTCTCCAGACTTCACCAACATCACCCTCTCACGTGCCCTAAAAATGTCAGTGAAGACAGAATGAGTCAGATCAAGTCTGCAGACAACTAATTTTTCCAATATAGGAAGTAGTGATGATCTTACAGTTTTTGTTTTCTGTTTTTAAGAAGAGCAGCATAGGGATATGAGTGTTGAGTTTTAAAAAAATGTTCCATATACACTAGACCAATAACTTCAACTTCTGAGAATTAGCCTATTTTTGAATAATATTGAAAATGGACTGCTTATTCCCAAGAATAATGTTAAATATATTCTTAATTCAGTTTTTAAAATTCAAGAAGAAATTCAGAATATGGAAAAATTAGCTTGAGTAAGTCTGAAGATGATTCTAGCTTTCGTGCCACTAAAATTCCATTTCTATCCTTTCAAAGATTTCATATGAATTCAAGTGGAAAAAATGAGCTGAGGGGCTAGAACAGGACTCCAGAAGAAGAATGAGTCAGGAACTTCATACCGAAATAACCCGACTCTCTTCTCCATCTCCTTCATCTATGCCCTCCCGTCCACCCCGACAAGCATAAGATTATGCCAAGGGCTACAGTGGAAAGAATACTGGCCAACAAGTCACACCCTGGATTTAAGTCTGGATACAGTCATAGCTTCTGTACGATCTTGGGCAAGTCACTTCAGCTCTCTGGGGGCTTCAGATGTGGAATACGCAACATAAGGAGCGAGGTCTGAGCTACCTTTTAGCTTTAACTACTTTTGCATCTAAGTTTGGTGGCTAACGCATCTGGAATTCCAGGTAATAGAAGGTATAGTAGATTGAACTACTGGCCACAATTCTTCTTCCCTTCTTGCATTCTCATCCTTGCCCTGACTCCATTGTGAGCAGAGCATATTTCCCTGCCTCTTGATTTCAGGCTTGGCCATATGACTTCCTTTGACCAATGGGGTATCGGTAGATATGATACATGCAGGGGCTCAAAATGTACATTAGTTCTTATTCCCCTATAGTTAGTGGCTTAGAATATTTTATAACATAAATGTTTACAATGGAGCTCTCTAATTGCTAGGTCATAACTAAGGTGACACTGCATCTCCCCTTTTCCCAGGTCGATCCTGGTTTACATCTGTTGTTCGGGTAGAAAGATTTAGTTCTTTGCTTCTCAAAAGTGGGCTGATGTAGATGACAAATTACATAGTCACCATCGAAAAACCGGTCAGTTCATCTTGAAAACTTACCTGGTTAATCCACAAGTTTGCTACAATAACAGAGCCATCTCCTTGTCCAAGCAACCATCCCCACAGTGCCTTTTTTTTTTTTTTGGATTATGGGAAGTCCCAGGGTGAGAAAAAGGGTAGCCAGTATCCCTTCTTACTCCTCAAGTGATCTGCATTATGAGCGGCCCCTTTATCCCTCAAACCATTTTAGGAAATGCAAAATAACTCAATAATAGAAAAAGTTTCGGGAGTCCAAATTTCAACTGTAGTTTCAAAGAAGCTTGTACCATTTCCCTTATGGTATAAAGCCTATGGATCATTGCACAATTTGCCTGTTGACAGGACAGTGTGGCACCCTTTCTATCATCTAATCAAAAAGGCCCTGGCCCCTGGACACATAGAGGTACATGCTCTTTTAGACACTCGGCAAGACTGTAAATGTTCATAACACAGACATCTCTACCCTCAGGTGAGAAATGGCAGGGAAGCAGAATGCCAGGTCCCAAGACCGATACTGGGATCAAATGGCAGCCAGACAGCGCCTGTAGGCCTCACTTTGGAGACTGGTACCTTCAGAGCCTACACTTCCCCATGCTGGACCGGAGCATGAGTACACCCTCGACAGGAGTCCCAGGATTGTCCGCCATCTTCTGCCACAGGCGTTGCTCTTCCCCCTGAGAGTCCATCCAATCCACATTCTTCCCATGGCTCACACCTAAGGAAGGGATAAGGGAGCATTACACTTCACAGATGAAATGTTTTGATCTTCTGGAAGACACCTATCAACCTCTGAGGGGGCCTTATTGAGCAGAGAGTCCTTCACTGGCTTATTTTCACTTACCCTGTCTAGTGAGTAGTATTAGAATGACAGACTCCCTTTGCAGTCAGCACTACGCTCTTCTGCCAAGATAATGAGAAACAAATCAGGATGGCCTTCGTGGCTCATTTCTTCCCCAGCTGCGGTAGTTTGTCAGAGAGCTGGCTCATTGGGACTGAGTTAACATGACAGAAGAACAGGCTGAAGTGAGCTCTGAGGCCCTCCTTTTTTAACAAGGCCACTTCTCTGACCTGGGGAGTTTTCAGTTTAGTGGTACAGATATGTTTGGCTCTCCTTAATCTGTAACTAAGCACAGCACCACAGAGGTGGGGTTGTTCTCATCAGGAGTATTGACCGTGGTGCGCGCAGACCCTCTATGTCTGACGTACGTTCTGGGATAATGAGGGTCTTGCGGAACTACACGGGCTCTGCCACCGTCATTTCCCTCCAATCCACCCTGTTGTGGTTGTGTCTTGTGGCATCAGCGGCATGTTTCCACAATCCGTTTGAACAACATTAGATGTTATTTTTTAGGAGGGGGGAATGGGTTTCCTTTCAATTCAACCAGTGAGTCATCTGAGAAGAGGATGAAGTAAAGTTGGTCTTGGAAGTCATTCTCTCCCCTATATCCTCTCCTGAGAAAAACCTGAAATAACACCCACGAAAGTAGTTGAAATTCACTTAAAGTGTAAGTGATATTTTATAAAAGGACTGAATATAAACATTATATATCCTAAACTTATAGCCAAAGGATACAAACCTATGAAGCAGTATTTTGATTTTAACAAGATTTTATTTTAACCAGCAGATTCTTGGCTAAAGGAATGGAGCATCTGTGGTGATGTCAGGAATCAGCTGAGCTGAAGCTACATGTACATCTACTACATATTAACCTGCAGGAACCACTCTCCCGCCCCATGCGTAGTCACAGACCATCTCAGGGTCCCCAAGTCCCTCACCGGTCCCAGAATTCAAACGAACTCCTCCCAGAAAGATGTTGCTGGAAAAGGGCTCCTTGTCCCAGACGGTAAGTTCTAGGCAAACATTCTTTATGTCCTGGGGGTTCAGGCCACTGAACATGAAAGTATGATTCCACTGAGGGTTAACGCTCTTCTTTACCACGAGTGTTTTGTGCTTGGTAGCTTTGCTGTCATCTGGGAGCAGGTAGCTGCAAGAGAAAAGGCAATCAAGCCATCGGTGAAACAGAAAATGGCATCCCCATTTTCAATTATTTAGTTAATTTATTCAGTTATTTCGATTCCCCATAATTCTTGGTGCGTGTGTGTGTGTGTATTTGATTTTTTTCTTCAAGGTTCTTATATGCTTATGTCCAGATTTAAGTGGAAGATTTTATTGTTTATTTTAAGTAGGACAATAGTAAAATGCCTGCACTGTCCTTTCTAATCCTATTTTGGTCCTTCCCTCATCTTGAAATGAAAGTATCTCCGGTAGTAGGTACTTACAATAAAGAGGACACACTACAACACTTGAGATTTCATTTCATGTACCAAGAAGAGACGGCTTATCCCCTGATACTCATTATCTCCTTACTCTTTAAAACAGACTCATTTTTTTTTTTTTTTTAGTTAGGCACAAGAGTGCCCAGAATAAAGACTACATTCCCAGCCTCCCTTGCAGCCAGTATAGCCACGTACTAAGCTCCAGCCCAAAGGATATACAAAGTGCTTCTGCATGAAATTTCCGGGAATTGTCTTGACAGCTGGCATCTGGACGGGACAGCTGAAACTGCAGCAGCGATCTTGGCCCATGAGGCGGATACCATAACAAGAGAGAAGAAACATGGCTCCCAAATTATCATGAGGCTTTCATACCTGCCCTAGATGTTTACCCTTTGTCTTTGTTTACATGCAAGAGAAAAAACTTTGCTTTCTCATGCTCTCTTTCCTTTTTAAAGATTTACTTATTTATTTTGAGAGAGAGAGAGAGCGTGAGCAAGTGGGGGAGGGGCAGAAGGAGAAGGAGGGAGAGAATCTCAAGCAGACTCCCCACTGAGCACAGAACCCTATGCGGGCCTCGATCTCAGGACTCCAAGATCATGACCTGAGTCAAAACCAAGAGTCGGACGTTCAACTGACTGAGCCACCCAGGTGCCCCCTTTCTAATGCGCTCTTAAAAAAAATCTGAGGTTCCTTTAAAATCAGCTCAATATTTAAGTGTAATTAGATAATTTACTAGAAAGTTACTGGCCTTTTTTTCATTATAGAACAAAGATACTGTCCTTTATTATCTCTGCTTTGTAAATGTTCAACATGATAAAGCGAAACTATTTCAAAAGACGTTAAGTCACCCCTGTAAGGCCACAATGAGGCCATAGGTAAGGAGCCATCACCTCATCCCACTAGGCAGTGGGCAGGAAGAGGCCTGAACTGGATGGTGGGGCTGGTGAGGCAAACTGCAATGGCAGGGTCCAAATAAAGCATTTCTTTTGTGCTTAAAACTTTTGTGAGAAAGAATGACGGACAGATGAACTGGGACTCAGGCCCACACACTCAACAGTAGGAAAGCCCCAGATATCTGCTTCTCCTTACTACTGGCTTTAGCAAAATTAGAATGTGTGAGGGTAAATGGTTGACTCTTTTTCTTTCTTTTTTTTTTTTTAAGATTTTATTTATTTATTTGACAGAGAGAGACACAGCGAGAGAAGGAACACAAGCAGGGGGAGTGGGAGAGGGAGAAGCAGGCTTCCCGCCGAGCAGGGAGCCCGATGCGGGGCTCGATCCCAGGACCCCGGGATCATGACCTGAGCCGAAGGCAGACGCCTAACCGACTGAGCCACCCAGGCGCCCCCCGACTCTTTTTCTTGTAGAGTCAATTACACTTTTTAAAGAAGGATTGATGAGAGGAATAGTAGTGTCATTGACTCAAAGAATTAACCTCGTGCCCAAAACCTATAATAAATATATAAAAAATAAAGAAAAAGAAAGCCAAACATAACACTACAGAAAGCGATCAACCACAAAGAAAGAGACCAAGAGAAAAAACAGGAACAGAGAAGAACTACAAAAACAACCAGAAAACAAGGAACAAAATGGCAGTAAGCGCCTACCTATTAATAATTACTTTATTTTTAAAATTTTATTTAAACTAATTTAATTAACATAGTGTATGATTAGTTTCAGAGGTAGAGTTCAGTGATTCATCAGTTGCATATAACACCCAGTGCTCATTCCATCAAGTGCCTTCCTTAATGCCCATCACCCAGTAACCCCAACCCCCCACCCACCTCCCCTCCAGCAACCCTCAGTTTGTTTCCTATAGTTAAGAGTCTCTTATGAGGGGCGCCTGGGTGGCTCAGTCGTTAAGCGTCTGCCTTCAGCTCGGGCCATGATCCCAGGGTCCTGGGATCAAGCCCCACATCGGGCTCCTTGCTCGGCGGGAAGCCTGCTTCTCCCTCTGCCACTCCCCCTGCTTGTGTTCCCTCTCGCTGTGTCTCTCTCTGTCAAATAAATAAATAAAATCTTAAAAAAAAAGTCTCTTATGATTTATCTCCCTGATTTTGTCTTATTTTATTTTTCCCTCCCTTCTCCTATGATCCTCTGTTTTGTTTATTAAATTCCACATACGAGTGAAATTATATAATTGTCTTTCTCTGATTGACTTATTTCGCTTAGCATAATACCCTCTAGCTCCATCCACATCATCGCAATAATTACTTTAAATATAAATGGTCTAAATGCTCCAACCAAAAGATAGAGGATAGTGGAATGGATAAAAAACACAAGATCCATCTATATGCTGCCTACAAGAGACTCATGTCAGACCTAAAGACACACACAAGACTGAAAGTGAAGGGATGAAAAAAATCTTACCATGCAAATGGAAGCAAAAAAAGAGGCAGCTGGGATAGCAATACTTATATCAAACAAAACTGACTTTAAAACAGACTGTAGCTGGTGATGGGCATTAAAGAGGGCACATGATATGATGAGCACTGGGTGTTAGACACAACTGATAAATCACTGAACACTACATCTGAAACTAATGATGGCTAATTGAATTTAAATTTAATTTAATTAAAAAAAATAAACAGACTGTAACAAGAGACAAAGAAGGGCATTACATAATGATAAAAGGATTGGGGCGCCTGGGTGGCTCAGTCCTTAAGCGTCTGCCTTCGGCTCAGGTCATGATCCTGGGGTCCTGGGATCGAGCCCCATATCAATGGGAAGCCTGCTTCTCCCTCTCCCACTCCCCTTGCTTGTGTTCCTGCTCTCGCTGTCTCTCTCTGTGAAACAAATAAAATCTTTAAAAAAAATGATAAAAGGATCAATCCAACAAATTGTAAATATCTATGCATCCAATATTGGAACACCTAAATACCTAAAACAAATATTAATGGATATAAAGAGAGAAATTAATGGTAATATAATAGCAAGGACCTTTAACACCCTACTTACATCAATGGATAGGCATCCTGGCAGAAAATCAATAAGGAAAAGGTGTCCTTGAATAACACATTAGACCAGATGGACATGACAGATGTATACAGAACGTTCCATTCCACAACAACAGACTACACATTCTTTTCAAGGCCATATGGAACACTGTCCAGAATACATCACATGTTAGGCAACAAAACAGGCCTCAATAAACCAGAGAAGACTGAAATCATACCATGCATCTATTCTGACCACAGTGCTATGAAACTAGAAATCAATCACAAGAAAGAAACTGAAAAAAAGAAATATGCTTCCCCCAAAGCACTCTCCAGTCAGTATCTCTGGGGAGGATGCTCTGAAATCTCTACTTTTTACAATTTCCCCTAAGAGAGCAAAATACCAAGAACCCCATATTTTTGTTGCTGTTGTTTATTGCCAATACCAAATGATAACAAAGCACAATAAAAATATATTACACACAGAAAATCATATTTTCTCCTCCTTTAAGAAATGAATCACACAGTAAAATCTGCCAGTATTGAGGGTGAGAATGATGGGAAACCCTGAAATATGCTGGAAGCAAGTGGAAAGCTAGAATAAGCAGCCCCCTCTAGACTCATGTTGTTTCAGATCTAAAAGCCAGCATTTAAGTGTAGCTCTTTCCTTGTCCATTTAGAGTAAGATGGACATAGAAGTCTCAGCCACCACTGTCTCATGGGTCACAGATCCTCTCATGTCCCATTAAGTATCTTCTAAAATGAGTTAGAACAAAATTACCCCTTCACAAAGCTATCAGAAGTGCCTCCTGACTTCACTGCTGTCAAATTCTGTGCCTCTTTGATGAACACTTCCAGGATTCCTCCAGAGATTACAGGTGACTCCTTCTTCTTTCCCCTTTTGAAGGTCTTCTTTCCTGCATCAGCCATCAAAAAGAGAGAGATGGACAGGGAGGGAGGAAGAAGGGGAGGGAGAGGGAGCAGGAAGGGGGAGGGAGAGGGAGATCACGGGTTCCATTTCAAAATTCACCAAGAAAACCTGCCAAGATTTATTTCATTTGCTGACTGAACTGGGTCTTTATGTTACTGTGTATTTTTCCATGGATTTATCTCAATGTTTCTACCCCACCAGATTCCTTTGGGATAGGTCCTTGGCTTGTGTTTGTTGAAAAAAATGAATAAATTTAAAACTTTAAATATTTCCCAACGAGGAGTATCTTTTTACAGGGTATAGTAGAACAAAATGGAAAAGACTCTGAGAGCTGCCTGAACCACATTCTTGCTCTCACTGAGAAATAGCTACAGAGAAAGCCACACAGAAGTGCCAAAACTCCGAAAGAGAAAATTCCATAACTTCCTTCTTGGGTATTTTAGTGTTAAAAATTTAGAACTGTGCAAGCTCTAAGCTTTACATTTTCATCTGTGTAATGCCAAAGTAACATAGTCCAACCAATTCCTGATCCCTATTCCCATACTTCTAGACACAGGATGTCCTTGGTCAAAGTCACTGATTTTTACTCTACCTTGAACTTCTTCTAGAGGAAGCATCAGGTTCTCCTCTGGGGGGATGTAACGTAAAACAACTGTTAGCTCTCCTTTATAGTGAAGGCCTATGTCCGCAGCAAATTCCACCTGGCCAAAGGGAGACAGGTGAAGAGAAAAAGGGAGAATGCTTGGTTTATCATTTTGTAGCCCATGTTTGAGTGGTCTTGTCATATTTACTTGCTGGCTTAAATATAACAATCCATTCCCATTCAACTATATTAGCACTTACTGGTTTAAGATATGCCTTAGGTACGAGAAGAGAGAGGCTGGAAAACTTTATGCAAGTATTTGTGTATAACTTTTAACATTAAAGTAAAAGGAATTTGAGAGGAGATATATATGACACACGTGTGGTGGGTCAGTGGCTACTGCCTGCCTGTGGTGCAGGACCAGAACCTATCACTGAACATACAGTTTGGGGTATGAGGCACAAATAGATACCACTGAGAACAGGTCCCAAAGACACCTCTCCCTGTCTGTTCTTGATGTCTCAAGGCTTTCCTAAGTGACCAAGAGGGGGAAATAGCCAGTAATGCTTGATTCACATTGGGCTGCCCAGCTACCAATTATTAAAAGCTTTATTTGTGATTTACATGATTAAAATTTGATGTGGAGGGGCGCCTGCATGGCTGAGTCGGTTAAGCGTCCGACTCATGATTTCAGCTCAGGTCTTGATCTCAGGGTTGTGAGTTCAAGTCCCACATTGGGCTCAATGTGGAAAAACTGGTTCATTCAAACATTGCTGGTGAGAATGTAAAATGGTGTAGCCACTCTGGAAAATGGTTTGGCAGTTTCTTATAAGACTAAACATATAACTACCATACAACCCAGCAACTGCACTTTTGGGCATTCATCCCGGAGAAATGAAAGATTACATCTACATAAAAACCTGTATGTAAACATTCATATCATCTTTATTTGGAATAGCCCTGAACTGGAAATGAACTAGATGACCTTCAAGAGGTGACTGGTGCAACAAACTGTGGTACAGCCATACCATGGAATACTACTCAGCAGTAAAAAGGAATGAACTAGCAATACACACAACTTGGATGAATCTCTACAGAATTATGCTGAGTGAAAAGGCCAGCTCAAAAGGATACATACCATGCAATTCCATTGAAATGACATTCTTGAAGTGACAAAATAACAGATACGGAGAACAGATTAGTGGTTGCTAGGAGTTAGGGAGGGGTGTCCGAAGGGAGGTCGATGTGGCTATAAAAGATCACAAGGGATCTTTGCAATGATGGAACTGTTCTGTATCTTGGCTGTAGTGGTAGATAAAGCTACACATGTGATAAAGTTTCATAGAACTAAATACACACACACACACACACACACACACACACAAATGAGAAGTGAGGAACTCTGAAGAAGGTGGGGGGGGGTGGTATCAATGTCATCACCCTGGTTGTGGCATTGCACTCTAGCTTTGCAAGCTACCATTGGGGGAAACTAGGCAAAGGGTACACGAGATCTCTCTGTATTATTTCTTATAATTGAATGTGTATCTGTAATCATCTCAAAATCAAAAGTTTCAGTTCAAAAATTCAATGTGAACATATACCCAGAGCCTTTGTTCTGTAAAGCTCCTAGTTGCCACTGAGTCAATTCAACTGACTTTTCATAAATGGGTTAAGAAAGTTGGCATATTTTCTTAGGCCTTTCCTTCAGGAACCTGGCTCCTGGGTGCTGAGTCAAGGGCTGAGAACTGCTGTCTTCTGAGAGGGCAGAAACCCCTAAACTCAAACAGCAAAGCCAGAGGCTGTTCAACAAGCCTCAGCAAAGATGACTGAGACCATTACCAGGAAAAGGAATCCCCTGACTTTCCTCTTGGTGGTGATAAAACTTATCAGTAAAGGTGGGAAAATCATTTGAAGTATTTTATTCAACCTTCTTACCAGGGGCAAACATGAGATTAGACAGTGAAATAGACTACCCATCTAATATTTAATCTAATTAAATCACATGCTTTGTAAAAGGACTTTTCTTGTTGTTTTGACAGTTTCAGTAAATTTTACTTTATGTGAATGTCACAAAGGGTAAGTTGTAATGGGCATTATAGCAAATTAAAGAGGTCATTACTTTTTTCATGCTATAGCCAATGAGCGGTGGGGTATTTATCCTTTCTCTTCGGATCTGAGTGGACCCTGTGATTGGTTTGACCAGTAGACCATGGCACCGGTGACAATGTGCCAGTTTCTGGGCCCCAAGCCCAAGATCAACAGCTTCTACTTCCTCTCTTAGAATGATTATCCTTGGGATACGCCCTCCGAGGACCCATGGTGTTGAGGCCCAAGCCACAGAAAGAGGCTACACGTAGGTACTCTGGTTGGCAGCTAACAGTAAGTGTGAGACAGCCAACTTGAACAACCAGCCCAGTCAATCCTTCATACGACTTCAGCCTCAGTCTACCATCTGTCTCATCTGCAACCACATGAGACACCTTCATTGAGAACCACCTACCTGAGCCTAATCACTCCACAGAATGATGAGCAATAATAAATTGTTTTAAGCCACTAAGGTTTAGAATCGTTTTCTATATAATAGCTAACCAATGCAGGCTCTATTTGCTTCTAGCTGAGAGCTTTGGATGGGAGAATATGTTGGTAGGAAAAGTGATGTGTGCAGGTGTCACATACTAATATATATTAGTAGAGGTTAGAACATGTGATACTGGGATTTATTAATGTTCCACTGGTATTTAGCTTAAATTAATTAAAATATACTGGTGACTTTCTATAAATACAGTCTTGAAATCTTGTAAGAGTAGAAAAGAGTAAAGATGAAGGCCTGTAGCATTATAATCACATACAAAAGAAATTCAAGGGAGGGAGTCATCTTGCAGCCTGTACACGGCTAATAAATATCTTGGGATAGTTTGGGTATTCTTGCAAGGAAATTCCAAGGCAACGTCATCTCCTGACATACCATCATTTTACATCATTCAACCACCTTTTGCTCCGAGAAAGGTAGAATTCAATTCAATTCAATTCAACTCATTCAATCCTACCAACACATATGGGATGCCTTCTTGTAGTAATGCTTTGAAGGCATTTTGCTAAGTGCTGCAGAGACACATTAAGAGACAGACCCTGCTGAGTTTTCAGTCTATCCAGGAGACATATATTCAATAGAAGCTCTATAGACCTGCCCTTATTTAACTGACTCATCAGATTAATGTTCTCCAATCCCAGTGAAGAGCAGGATCCTCTATACAAAGACCATGCATGCCTACTCCTATCAGTTGAACTGTACGCTTATCAAAAGCCAGCTGCATTCGTCTCCCAGGTTCTTTATGCCGGGCACGTCTCTGGTTCTAATTATATAATTTCATATCAATAAACTGAAGAGTGCAAAAAGACAGCTACTACTATAAAAATTAATATGAATACTTTCAAAGAACTAAGTATTTGAAAATAAATCTGCTATTGGATTACATTTGGGCTCGAAGCTATAAAAGATTAGAAAACAATCATGAATATTTAGAAAGCTTTTATATTTGGTTTACTTTGAAAGCATTCTCAAGTTCTTGCTGCATTTCAGAAAAGCTCAAACTAGAAACCACTGATGAGAATGCACTAGGACCAGAATTTATGCCAGGAAGATAGAACAGAATTCTAATCAACGAAACTATACTCAAACGAAATGGATTATCCCTATATTAAAAGACTTGAAAATCAATGCACACTTGTTTTAAGTTAAAATAAATGATTAAGAAATGCACTGGGGGTGTATGTTTGTATGTGTGTGATTTCTGTGGCTTCATGAACTGACCTACTATTTTAGGCTCAGCTCAGACCAAGGATGACAGTTGGCTTCAGTACAGGTACAAAGAAACTACTGTGGGAAGAGAGAGAATCATCTAGATTGGGATAAAGAGGTGGCCTTTGCCTGGTGCTTAAAGGGATGGGAGATATGATGGCTGATAGAGAGAGGATGGGAAGAAGGCCAGTCTGGGTTAAGAAAACAGTCTAGTATGAGCAAGATTCGGTGGGGACTGTGTAAAACGTGTTTAAAAGCTGACGGGAAGTCAGGTGTGATTAGAGGTGTGTGTGAAGGGAGGTAGTAGCAAGGAAGATGAAGAAGGTTTCTACTCTGGGTTGCCCGGAAGACCCTAAGACACAGATTTACCTTAGTGTGTTTTATTAGGAAGGGCAGTGAGGAAGTGGGACCACAAACTGAAGAAGGCTTAACAAGGTTGTGATATTGGGCAAAGTTTTATGGTAAGTTTCTCTCAGTTCCACAGGGGAGCTTTGCAGACAAGACAGATCACATCTCCAAGAGCTGTCCCAACCAGAGACAAGGGAATGAGAGTGTTGATGATGCTCCTTCGCCCATCCGTTACTGATCAAGGGCTCTGCCCTTCACCCCTAGAAGACTTAAATACTCAGGATATTCTGGCTTTTCATGCCCACAGACCAAGCCCACACCAGCAGCCTGAGGGCTCTTCTCTCACAAAGATTGGCAGGTGTTGGCTGGTATGAGCGGAAGCCATGGGGAGCCACATATGCATGAACCTGGGGATCCAGGTAGAGCACTGACATCCTCCTCTGTTACAGAAGGTGGGGTCCTATTAAGGGAGCACTAAGTGCCAGGGTCATGGGTTAGGATTTATTCAAAGCATAGCCAAAGGCAGTAGGGAACCAGTGAGGGTATGTGACGGAGCAGGGGGGTGGCATCATCAGGCAACCCCCATTATCTTCTGCTTTTTGAAGAGATCCACATTACATCGGAGTTGGAAGCAGAGTTCCCAGGACATTTTCAGGTCTAAGGTGGGGGTCATAAATTATGGACAAAAGTCTGCCCAAACCTCCAAATAGAGAAAGAGGCTTTTTAGCTCAGTAATAATTTCACAGGAACTTGCGTTTACTCTCCACCTGAAGGCAGAACAGAGAAGATTTCCTTGGAAAACACTTGAGCTTGCTGTTGATTTTCAAAGCTCCTTGTTTTTATAATAGCACCTCTGGGAAGACATGAAAGGCAATTCATACTGACAAACCCTTCTGGTCTACCTACCTAATATGCCTTTCAGAAAGATAATGACTTACAGCTAATAAACAATCTCCTGTCATGCAGTAAAATGGAAGTCGTACTGTGAAACTGCTTTACAGCCCACTTGACAACTTGAGTTCTTCCTCTGTCTGCACCAGCCTCCTCACTGGCTTAGTGCCATAAGTCTTAGCAAAAACAAAGGCAGGTGCCGAGGGACGTTTCACTAACATGGAGTCAATAAGAAATGAGGCACTGTGTCTATCCCGTATTCCCACTGCAAAGGGATGTCAGTATTTCCAAACACCGAAGGACTATTCATTCTGATCCTCTATCACTAAAGAAATTGGTCCCTGTGGTTTACACTTCACCTCCTTAGCTGGATAATCTACAAGGAAACATCAAATCTCCAGGGCTGCTCGTACTCTAGCTGCAGCTGATGAGGTGACTGAGATAGGAGACTGAAAACGAAGCGACGCTTCTCGAAGTCAGCTGATAATCCACCACCCAGAGCCCAGCTCAGCCTGAGGATGAGCCACCAATGAATAGGAGGCAGCCTACGGAGTATGTAGCACCTGTCCTCCCCACTTCTGGAAGACATGGCGTGCAAACAAGGCTGAAACTGCAGGCTTTCCTCCACACGTATCAGAGACACGTCTATGCGTCTATATGTGTCAGAGACACATATATGTGTCTGTGTGTCATCTTTTTCTTGGCAGAGAAAGATGACATGGATTAAAGACACGAAGCTCTGTGGGGTTCCCCAGAGGCTCACTCTGAGATGAGGATTCTTAACGCACATGATTTAGGTCTTAGGATAGACCAGGGAAGGGGTGACCAGGAAAAAGGTCAGGAGGAAGCCAGGCCAAGGGGATAGCTTGATCTAGCAAGGAAGCGGTAGAGTGTAAGTAATGCCTTGGAGCACCACCCTCCCTGCCCCTGCCACTCTCAGTAAGGGAACTGGGCTTTCAGACTCCCCCATCTGTGAGTTACTGGCAAAGAGTTGCCTCGTGGTAGGCGGTACGTAAGTTCCTAGGAGCTTCTGACTCTCTCCACTCATTGGAAAAGCTACAGTAGCCTGGGAACAGTCTTCTAAACAGAGTCTCAGGTGAAGGCTGTTGCAGGCAAAATTCCTAACAGTCACGGTTAAAGGAATCCAAGGGGATCTGGCAGAGGACCAAAGAGTTCCAGATGTTACACTCAATCAGAACTTTTCTACCTTGAGCAGCCTGAGAGCTGCTTCTCCCTTATGATAGAGAGTGAAGGGGCGCCTTGGTGGCTCAGTCGTTAAGCGTCTGCCTTCGGCTCAGGTCATGATCCCAGGGTCCTGGGATCGAGCCCCACATCGGGCTCCCTGTTCCGCGGGAAGCCTGCTTCTCCCTCTCCCACTCCCCCTGCTTGTGTTTCCTCTCTTGCTGTGTCTCCCTCTGTCAAATAAATAAATAAAATCTTTAAAATAAAAGAAAGTGAAATCACTCAGTGGCAATGTGAAGGTGATTACCACGGAAGGTGGCTGGTCCCTAAGCACAGAGGATATGCCTGGGAGAGCTTAGATGTCATCCCAGTGCAAGTCCTTCAACCATTTCCAGGAAACTGACTGGAACGTTCCAAGCTGTTTTCCAAAGAGCCCCTATGTGCTTTAATGTTAAATTTATGACAAGTTAATATCAGGTACTAAAATGAATGTTATTTGTCCTTCATCTGCATCATGCTTCATATAATGTCTTGGACATTTTCTAACTATGATTCTGTGGTGCTCACCCATCACACACAAAAGGAAGCGAGTGACAGGAGACTGTTGAGTCAGATTAAGTGCTATCCTTCATGGTGAGGCTTCTCACTCCAAGAGATTCAGTGTTTAATGACCAATTATTTCCATGCTTAATGTCAAGGGAATGTTATACTCTTGCAGACTTATTTCTTCTGACTCTTGTATTTCCTATCATATTTATGTCAGTCAGGGGCTTGAAGTTATTTTATGTTTAAGGACTTTTATTATATTTTATTATTAATTTTACCCACAGCCCAATTATACCTCCCAAAGATTTTCCATGAGGGATTTATACCAAGCTTGAGGTCAATAGTTCTAAAACTCTTACCAGAAAGTTGTATTTAACTTCTGAGTCTCCATCACCTCAGATACAATGGAAATGATGATACTTACCTCATGATGTTTGTGGTGAACAGTGCTGTTGCTGCTGCTGATCCACGCATGTGTTGCTGTTCAGCTTCCACTCACCATTCCTTTAGAACTACTATACCTGGATTTCCTTTGGGGCAATACTACCTTCAGGACCAGGGTAGATTCTGATTGTCTTAAGTCAGCCAACGTACCTCACCCTCCCTGGCCGGCCACGGCAATTAGCTCAGGATGGGCAAATGATGTCATCAGAATGAGGAGAACCAGGCCCAGGGTGCTGGGTGGACTGCTGGAAGAGGAGGGCATTTTCCCTCTCCCGGGCCATGTGATGCAAGGAGGAGGGGCTTACACGTATTGTAACGTCCAAGAGAAGCATAGTAGAGCTAGTGATGGAGGCCAACTGCACAGAGTCTCAAAATGAAGCCAACACAGAGAAGAGAGACCAAGAGAGTCCAGGGCCTTGATACGACGTGAGTTATCTGGGTAAAGCCATGCTTGATAATCACTGGTCAGTAATTTCCTTTTTTGAGTGGTATGGGCTGGGGTTTCTGTCAATTGCAATACAAGGATTCTGATGTAACATAAACACTACCTAGCATTCATTGAGAGCTTAAAATGTGCCCGACACAATACTGTGAGCATTGCAGAGTGCTTCTCCAAGCTTCACAACATCTCAGTAAGATATGTCCAATTATTATATCACAAATGAGAACATCAAAGTCTGGGAAGTTAATTTGCCCAGTGTCACACAGATAGTCATGAAGCCAGGACTGAACCCAGAAAATCTGAACTGAGTCTACTATCTTTACCATCATGTTCTTTTTGCCTCTCTGTATATAAAGAACAATCTTCGGTTACATAAATGTGACCTTTTTTCATCCCACTTTCGACTTAAGAATTACTATAAATGTAGAGAGACTCCGGTTGCATAGAGTGAATCCAAGGTACTATTGGTCTAGAACATGCTATATTGCATTTAATTTCTAGAACCAGCTTTAAGACTGTTTTTCTGACTATAACTTAAAACCTGGGTTATGAATCTCAAAAGTAGGAATATAGGAAACCAGATACTTTAGCTACTCCTTACTTCCTCATGTGAGTCAAGGCAAGGCCACTCCTGCTTATGTATGAATTGTGGAGAATGGGGAATAGAGAGAATGTTTTAAGACTGATTGGCTCTATGGATTTGTTTTTGTCTATGGGAAACTGAATGCTTTCTCTTTCTGATAGGATCATATAATGTACTCCCCTTTTTTAATCCATGGAGACCTTCAAATGATGAGTACATTTTTAGTAAGTCAAATTAATAACACATATGACTATGTGACTTGCATTGTACAGACGGTCTATATTAAAGAAGGAGTTCCAAGGAAAGGATTTACATGTATTATATTATTCCAAAATCAGCTGCACTCATCTGTTCAGATTACCACTTGAAAATGAGAGAAGTCTTCAGATTCTCTAGGCCTATGACATCAATTTTGTTCCTAACCTGTCTCATTCCATAACTGTTCGATTAATCTGGAGGCATTTCCTACCTTGGGCTGAAGCACAAACCACTCATCATTTGGATTTTCAAAGTTCCATGAGTCAAAAGGAATCTCCACCTCCCCAAGGAAGCTGTTACGTCCAAATCGATCATGATGCCAGACTGAGAGCTGCAGAGTTCTTGTTTCCAGCTGGGTGTGGCTGATGGTGTACTGCAAACGAGAGTCACAACATCACACTCCATGTGGAGGGCTCTGCCCAATTCTACCACAGGCTGAAATTTACTTTCGCCATCTTTCAGATTATACACACTAGTAACATGAATGAAACACACACACACACACACACACACAAAGCCCACTGTATTTTTCCTTGTTTATGCTACAACGGGGGTTCTATGCCATGAACTCATTTTGTGTTAGACCTCGCACTGAAAGATGTATCAGCCAATTATTTAGGAAGAAGTCAATAAACTTAAATAGTATATTAAAAGTATTAGGTAATGAAGACTGTCCCCTTTCCAGTTTTACCCCGTTTTCATCTGCGAATCGTTTTTCAACCTCTCCTTTGTAAGCTTAATGTTTGCTATATCAACACTCCAACTTCTCTGTCTTATTTTAGTTATGACAAGAACCCTCAAATCCAGGAAAGTACCCTCAGTGAGAAACTTGCAAACACCAAACTTCATCAAGTCTCGCATAAGCGCAGGAGTGAGGAGACCAATACAGAGACTGAGCGGAAAGAAAATACTGCTGGGGTAGCTTTTCCTTTTCAGCAGAATGTGATCCACAGCCACATGCCTATACACCCTCAAACTTCCTGCTAGTTCTATGCATCTCCCACCTGAGACACACTGCAGACTGTTTCTTGAACTTGGATTTGCTTCTATACCCATCTTTGCCGGTCCTGGAGTGATTGACCTTGGCTCCCTGCTTCCTGAATTTGCCATGTCACTCTATCTATTCTGCTTGGGCTCATCTTTGCTACCTTGTTAGAGCCACCAGATTCACCCCCTGCCTGTATTCATTCATCCTCATTTTGATCTGTCTTCATACTGGTTCCTGCTTCCAAACATGACCCCACTGATGGATGTCCCCACTCACCAACTTCCTGCTATGGTGGATTCTGACTCCCTCACTCTGGGTACAAGGTCCATACATTTCCCTGCGACTGGCAATAACTTCTACATTCCAGCCTCTCCGGATCTTTCTTACCAGGCTAGACTGGTCCAGGGTGGGAGAAGGGGTTGTTACATAGAAGCCCATGGGGGAAAGAATGTCTCCAGGATTGGGGCCTGGGTCATGTCTTATCGGGGCCACTTCCCCTGAGGTTCCTCAAATCCAGGCGTGCATCTCCACTGTTCATTAACCACAGGCCTAAATTTAGCCCAACTCTGAAACCTGACAAGAAATAGCACATACTCATGCTGTGTGAGCAGAATGAGGAGTGTGCACAAAGTGACTTGCTAAGTTAGTGTCAAAACTGTGACAAACTCCTTTTAAGGGGGAACTAGAAAAAACAGTTTTCCCAAGGGTGAAACATTTTTTGACAAGATGCCCCGGCTCAGATGGAATTTCACTGGATCATCTTTACTTCAGGTGTCACTTTAGCAGCAGCAAGAAATAAGCCGAGTAAGGGTGGTTTACAGTTTTTCCAAAAACTGTTAGGAAAGCCAAGGGCGTGACACGAATTTATTCAAATTCTACTTTTCTAAAAGATATTTAAGTCGGAACATGCAAATCCTCCGTAGTCAATTTTAAACCAATGAGGATATGAACGGTATCCCTTGCGTGAATATGAGAGAGCATGTACTTACCTTTAGTGTCTCATTGAATTCTGGATTGGTGCCTGTTCTGACCTTGGTCTTGCGCTTATTGTTTCTGGACTTGTCAGGAAGAAGGTATGACTTGACATAACTGTAGATGATAAAACATGAAAGTAATTATTGGAAGACATCTACTTGGCAAGGAATAGTCAGGGATTTCAGTGAATAAAAGAGGTGAAGGGAATAGGCCAGCAAACACGAGAGAACCAGAGAGAATGTAGTCTACATGGCAGGATACCTTAAAATATAACTCTGGGCTTCCAATAAGAGAGAAGCGGTAAAGTATTGTGATGAAGAGTGTGGGCTCTGAAGTCAAGCCAACTAGGCTTGAATCACTCCATGCCTCACTGGTTTTGGTAAACTCAAGAACTTACTTAACTTCTCTGTGCCTCAGTTTCCTCATCTGTAAAACTGGGATAATAACAGTATCTAACTTATGGCATTGCAAGGATTAAACTGGTTGATACATACCGGGAGCTGACATGTTATACTACTCAATAGATGTCATCTATTCATAGGATCAATGGTCTCACAAAATACTGTAGGGTTATATTCCTCTCTATTCCGAAGTCAAAACTTCTGATGAGTGGAATCAATGGTCATGGATGAATGAAGGAAAATGGTGAAAAAGAACAAATAGGAAATAACAACCCGATGTCACAAAAGCAATTCTACCTGACACCTTGTGTTGGGATATCCCAGGAGCCTCCTGGAGCAGGGGTATCAAGGCAAACTTAGAAATGCACAAGATATACAAGACTGCAACGTACAAGGTGCTACCAGAGCTGTGAAGCACATCTACCAGGGCTTTAGATGACCTCTTTCCATGCTACTCTAAATGATTATACTGGTCCTGAAGCCCTTGAATATTCAAGCTGAGGAAGTAGGTGGACCCATCTATACTCAGAATCCACTCATTTGTCTATCTTTAAAAAAAAAAAAAACACAACTTTAAGTAATCTCTACACCCAACATGGGGGCTCGAACTCACAACCTTGAGATCAAGAGCAGCACACTCCACCGACTGAGCCAGTCAGGTGCCCCACTCCCATTTGTCTATCTTTAGACACTTGGAAACAGCTTCTCTGAGTTGTTTATTGGACCTAGGTCACCTATTATGGAGGAAAGGGGTAACACAGCTGGCCTCAGACTGCTGTCCTTGGAAATGCCTGCTTACAACATTTGCCATTGGCCGGCATCTGGAAACTTGGATTTTAGGAGGATTCTCATCACTCCCAGAACAGATGTAAGTGGCTCACTGTGACTAAACTATTTGTAAAAACAATATGGCTTAGGCAGAACACCTGCTTTCCTTCACGGAGACTGGAATTTTGGTATGTGACAGTTGGTGCTGCCACGACTTGTTCCTGGAGGAATTAAGCACATCATGTGTGACTCCAGTGGGAGAGGATGCTTGGAAGCTGAAGGCTGGATTCTTCAGAACTTCACCACACATGCCTTTTTTCTCTGCTGCTTATGACAAGTGGAGTCCTGTGACTCTTCCTAGTAAATCATCAAGTCTGGCAATGACTTTGGGAGCCCCTGACACATCTTTCATCTAGCTCCCTTCCAATGTACCAACGGTCCATATCTGCCTCCCAGCTAATATCTGGAATCCTGAGAACCTCAAAATTGTCCTTTTGAGTTGTTCAATTAAGCTAACAGCTTGGCGATTTTCTCTGGAGGGTCTCCCAGAACAGGATACTCAGAGATCCCAGGGTATGCCAATGTGTCAGCCAGCTTCTATCATAGAGCTGCCTCTGTGTAAATTACAAATATGTCAGTCCTGAATCATATCAACTCGTGGCTTTGGAAAAATCAGATAATCATGGACACAACCATTATACATACACTTAGAGAATACTTAGAAGTGTCGCACAAGAGGAAAATGACAATCGACCTTCTGAGAAGGCTCTGAATCAAGAGGAATGCTAAGACAAAACCACACATACTGACAAAGAAAACAGTGATTGAAACAGTTCGAGGAATATGCTACGTGCTTACGCATCTGTCCTCTGTTTCTTTTCATCTCCTATGGCCAGATTTCTGCAATTCTTGACAAAAATGTAGAGCCCGCCAGTTTTGTAGCAGTAGCTGATGTGGAGAAGGATCTCACCACTGACCTTCACGTTGCCATAGTCTCCTGTTTCACTGTAAACACTCATCATGCTGTTAAGGCTGGTCTGGAATAAACAAGATGAAAAGAGGTGTCCAGGGTTATTCTAATTAGCTCTACACAGAATCCACCCCCTTTATTCAATTATAATTCTTATTCTTTATAATGAGCAGCAAAGTCCAGGGTGAGTGAAGAAAGCAAAAATCACTTGTTTTGTTTGGTTTTCTGGTACTGTATAAAACCCAAGCTTGACAAGGGACAAGAAGACTTAAGGAGTATTGGAAAGGAAGGCAGGAAACCTGTGGAGAGGGGCAAGTGAATAGCCTTTGTTTATTCACTTCTAATGAATACAGGGTCATTGAAGCACTTCCAATCCCGCGTCCTCTCCCCACCCCTGTAGCTTTTGCCTCTCTCGCTGGTAGACTCAAGGTCAACCTACCCCAAGGTCTAGAATGCATCCATCAGGACAAAGAGAAGCTCCTATATTCCGTGCGAGCAGGAGCCACAAGTTTCTCTCTCTGACACCCACAGAGAGCATCCCAGCAGTCTCTGGGAAGCCATAACTGCAGCCATAAACAAGGGCATGCCAGAACGTTATTTACCCTTGGCTGCTGTGAATTCCCCAGGCAGCTGTTTTGGTTACATAGGTAGTGTAAGACCAGGGCTTTGTAAACCTCTGTAAAATAGCCACCCACAAAAATAGAACACTAAATAATCAATTAACACACCAACAAACAAATAAAATGTAAAAAAAAAAAAAAAAAGTCCAAATCTACCAGAATGAATAAAATTTCTGATTTTATTTGAAATCACTAGTGACAAGAGGCACATTTTAAATTAAATGTAACAAAATTATCCCTTAGTGCCAAAACTGTATCTTAGCAACATGACTGTCACAAGAGACCACTTGGAAGGCTTTCATGAGTGACCCAGCAGTTTCAAGAGCCCTGTCTGTGAACCACTGGGAAGGACTAGAGTAAGTACAAACAGAGCCTAGACTTCCCACTTTTGTCTGTTATGCATAACGAAAGTCATGACATTCCTCTAGTTGCTCAGAGCCTGATCAAAGAACAGGATGCGGGCCATGTGGCAAGTATCTCTTCTAAGCTTAAGTCAAGGTCAAGAGTACACCAAGAATTCCCTAACTACTTAGAAATTATAATTTCAAGAGAGCCAGTGAGTGAGCTGATTTGTCTTTCCCATTCCTAGAACAAAACAGAATTTTCATAGTAACAGGTGGCTTTGAGCAGTGTTTTTCAAACTTCTAATTGCACATAAATCACCCGGGGATCTTGTTAAAAGGAAGATTCTGATGCAGTCAGTCTCAGAGTCTTCTTTTCTAACAAACTCCTAGGTCCACAGTTTGCAAAATGTGTATTGAGGCATCCCAGAGCACCACAGCAACCTCACAGGGGGACCGCGGGGTATTTTAAAATTTCAAGGGAAACACAGTGACATCGATCAGACACCATGCAAACTCTTAGCAGTAGTTCACAGTGTCAACATTAAATCACAATTTATTCTTTCAGTTAAGTCCTGTGTGAAGCTGAGTTTTTGACAGTTGCTGTGAAAAATAAGCAAGTACTGCATAAAAATCAACATGGAACAGAAAATAAAAGCGGTGCTGTCCAATCAGATTCCAAGATTTGACGAGTTGTGAAGTGCCCAACAGGTACCCATGTCCCATTAATAGGGATTAAGGGCTATTTAAGAATGGAATAAAATTATTTTTCTTTCAATGTATGTGTATTATTGTTTTGCATGTCTACTAACTTGTTAGGATACCAGTGCTTACAAAGTTTTTTTGACCTAACTGGTGTGGAGAACAAAGGCACAGGAAACATAGAAAGGAATTAAATTTCTCTTGCAGCCCATTGACAAATACTTAAGATAGGAAGGGTGACCTTCCTCCAGGAACTCAACTGCCTCAATGTTAATACTTTTGCTAGAGGCAAAAGGCAACCTTAGCTTGACATTAGCCCACCTCCAGGATCCCATTAGTCTTAATAGATAAAAATCCCTTTGGAAACTTCCTTTAGCTCTACTAGCTCCCAAGATATAGGTTAGCAATCATCCTCCAAGCATATGGCTCGCTGATATACATCCGAAGGGTCTCATGACTAGGGTTTTACTAGACAGTAGTAAATGACCTTATCCTAACAACAGCTAGCCCCTCAAGGTCCTGGAAACCTTGCTTCCAAATTCCTTAGAGACTTAAGCTATCCCCAACCCCCTCCCAACCTGAAAGTGTATAATCAAGTCACTCCTCACAACTCTAGTGCAGCTCCTTCTGCCCATGGGCCCTGTCCCTATGCCTTAATAAAACCACCTTTTTGCACCAAAGATGCTTCAAGAATTCGCTCCTGAACCCCAATATTTCACATCACTAGCTACTTAATAAATGGGTTAGTCAGGTGTTAATTCTGGCTTAGGAGTGGGATGAAAGAATCACTAGGGGCTCTGTGAACGGACAAATGCTAGAGTCTCTGCCCCAAGTGAGGCAAGGCTGCTGGTTCGTGGACTATTCTTTGACCTCCAAGGGCTTCATGAATAAGCCCCTACCCCCCTCATGTTATATATGAAAAAACACTGGCTCACAGAAATTATTGGCAGTGCCAAGACACAGAGCAAGAGCTCCAGATTTTTAGTCTGAGGACCTCCCCAGCATGCCTTCCCACCTCCTCATATCACTCAGTTCTGTCTACAACACATCTCTCAGTAGCCACATCTTCAAAGAAGTCCTCACTAAGCAGGGGGCCCCTAAAGATAGAAGAAAATTTAAAAACCCATAAATGCTGAAGCTTGAGAGAAATTAAGGCAGCTAAGGCAATTTTCCTACTAACCAAACTTTATGCTCTTAACTGAGCCAGTGCTGTGATTTAAAATAGAGATGTTTATTCTAAAGGCATCTCATTAATGGTAAATTATGTTGAACCATACGTCTTTTGACTGGCGCTCGGATGCTAATGTTTAATGAATTTTTCTTTCCTTGGGATACTTGGATTCCGATAATGCTGTTTACCCTTTAAAGAGAAACTCTAGTTAACGGTACACAAGTCAGAAAAAGATAAGTGCTGGAAAAACTGCCCACCTAATCAGACTTCCCATACCATGAAATTTGCAAAGCATGGTTGGAAATAAGGAAAAGGAAAGACTGAAAACTCACAGTGTCTGAGTCAGCATCAGGGACATTTAGGTAGGTCCACTTCCTGTCAGAGCCTGCTTGAGAATTCTTTAAGAAAGTCGTCCAAAGGTCAAAAGAAAAAAGGGTATTAGAGCAACGGACAGAAATCAGAGGAGCAAAGAAAAAGATTTACAGGCACATACACACAAATGTAGATGAGGACGGGGGGCTCCTAAAGCCAACCTCTCAAGCAAAGGCATGAACATGAAAGTAAGAAGGGACATTATTCTATAGGCAGTGAGTGAGAAGCTAGGGACAGTGTCTGAGTAGGACAGAAAGCTGACTAGCTATGTATTTTGGGAAAATGGCAACAGCATGGTGGACAGTTTGAAACAGACAGGATGGTGGCAGGGAAAGAAAGGTATCAGCAGAGAACTGTGATAGTTTATGGGCTTGAGCTGATGACAGCCTGAATTAGGGAGCGAAGAGGTTTTAAAAACTGGGTGAGGACCGTGGAAGGAGAGGGAAGGAAAAGCTCACACCAAATTAGACCAAAAAGTACTCTGTGTGGAAAGGGCAAGCAGGAGATTAGAGTGACTTTTAACTCACTGTCACACATATTCTCAAGAACATTCCTCCTTCCTTTGGGAAAAGTACAGAAAAATCAACGAGGGAAAGAAGAAGCTTCCAGTCACATGCTAGAGAAGTGCTTACAGTTGACAGGCCACTTGCTAGACTGTGGGTGTTGGCAGAAAACCGGGAGGACGCTAAGTCATGAACACCTTCCTCAGTCTCTTCCAGGGAGCCCTAAGGAAGGGGGAGAAAATCAGTGGTTTGGTTTATTTCTTTCCTAGAAAGAAGTTGCACCTCAAAAACCACCGTCTTTTTAAATACCTAAAAAATCCTAACCAAATGTCTAGAAATCACCCTATCCTGAGGTTTCTCTTTGGCTATCCATTCAACCTGAATTACTTCATCAGAGAAGTGGGGTCTCCTGCCTGGTGGTGCTTGCTTTACGAAAAGAACATGAAATTTGGAATCACACAGACCTGGGTTTCAACTTTACCTCCCTGATCTCTAAGCTTTGGGCAATGTACTCAAATTATTATTTTTTTTAATAAAAAAAGGGGTCTGTGTGTGTGTGTGTGTGTGTGTGTATACTGTCAAGATGGGGAAATAGATCTTAAAAATCTCTCTGACAGAGTAAACTATTTTAGACACTGGATTCTTGTCCAAAATTCCAGATTCTACTTTTCTTCTCCTTCATGATAGACTGGCTTCCCCAACCCTGCTCCCAGTTATTTAAGCAATACATTTTTATAGTAAAAAATTTCAAGCAATATAAATATAAACTTAGATCTCTAATATAATAATGACCAAATTTCCAAGTTTTATGATATGTATACACACATGCCTACATACACAACCACACATAAATGGAATATATCATACATGCTTTTTTTTAAAAGAACACCTTTCTTTTTTGCTTCTCCTCTCCTCCCTTTGTTTCCTCTCACCCCGGGTTAAATCAGTATTTTACATATTACATTTCATGCCTTTCTCCTTGTTTATGTGAAAAATCATATAAAACTGTGCACACCTAATGGACAATCATGTCTTTTAACCACAGTTTCATAACTTGAGATTATTCTCTATATAGAATCCTGTGCTTTAGAATAAAAAAGAATTTTATTATAAAATATAACACACTAGAAAAGTACATAAAATATAAATGTACAGCATAATACAATATGGTGACCAAGTAGAAGCCTCCTTTGTGTTCTGTCCATATCACAAACCCCTTTCTCCCCCATCTTTGAAATAATATCTTAACTCTTATGGTAATCACATCTTTGCTTTTCTTTATAGTTTTACTACCTAAGCATACATTCCTAAACAATATGATTTTGTTTTGCCTGTTTTTGAACTTAATGTAAATGGAATTAAATGTTATATACTCTTTTGTGTTTTGCCTCTTTGTCTCAACGTTATATTCTTTTAAGAGTCATCCAAATTATTGCATATTATTGTAGTTTGTTCATTTTTATTTATTTGGGTTGTGTCTAGATTTTTTTCCCTATTATTAACAAAGTTGCTATAAATATTCTTGAGTACGTACCTTGATGCATAGAAACACAAGTTTCCCTTAGGTATGCCCCAGTGAGAAGAACTGCCATGTCATAAGGCATGCATATCTCCACATGGTTATTGATATTACTTTTAAGATAATGTCAAACAATTGGGAGTAATTGTACCAATTTACAGTCTGACCAGCAACATATGAGAGTGCCCTCTGCTCAATATTCTTGTCTGCCAAAAGTTGGTATTGTCAGATTTCTTTTTTCTCTCTTGCTAATCCAGTAGATGATTATGTGAAAATTAGTAATGGGAAGCCTCACTAAAACTTATTATTGAGTACCTCTTTCTGATCATTGGCCAACTAAATTTCCTGGTTTGTGAAGTACTTTTTCAAAGCTTGCTTATTTTTATATTGATATATTTGCCTTTTTCACTGATGAGCTCACAAGATGAGTTGGAGCAACTTGTAGACCTACAAAGTAAGAATGTGCTCAAGACAAAAGCAAACTAACAAAAACAAAAACAACATAAAAAAAAAAAAACCAACCCAAAGTGATAGAAGTATGTCAAAGGAACACAGGAGCCAACTGAAACAGCTCCCAATGACCAAAGCTGGAAAAATTTGAGCAATAAAATAAAGTAGGGGTGCCTGGGTGGCTTAGTTGTTAAGCATCTGCCTTCGGCTCAGGTCATGATCCCAGGGTCCTGGGATCGAGCCCCGCATCGGGCTCCCTGCTCCGCAGGAAGCCTGCTTCTCCCTCTCCCACTCCCCCTGCTTGTGTTCCCTCTCTCGCTGTGTCTCTCTCTGTCAAATAAATAAAATCTTTTAAAAAATAAAGTAATATTAGATTATAACTCAAAGTATAAAATAAATATCCATCAGTATACTGATATAAATAAATGACTGAATAATAAATGGATGGAGACAAATTTCCCATGCAAAAATATTCTAGATAATTTATGTAGCTATTCCATAAGAAGGTGGAACAGAACCCTGTCAGTGTGGGCTGTACATAGTGACTTTGTTCCAAAGAGTACTAGATAGAAAAGTTAGAAATGAGTAACTTTATAGTGGAGAAACCTGACAAACAGTACCTCAGTCAGGTGTTCAAAGTCAGCATCAACAGTAATGTCATGTTGATAGTATGTAGTGTAAAAACAAAATGGGGCGCCTGGGTGGTACAGTCAGTTAATCAGCCGACTCTTGATTTTGCCTCAGGTCGTGATCTCAGGGTCATGAGATCGAGCCCTGCATCGGGTTCTGCACTCAGTGTGGAGTCTGCTTGAGATTCTCTCTCCCTCTGCCCCCCCCCAAATAAATAAATAAATAAATAAATCTTAAAAAAGAAGCCAAAAAGAAAAACAAAAAAACAAACCAAAACAAAAAAAACCCACAGGCCCCAAATGGCATTGCTTAAGGCTGAGTCCTCAAACTAGGGCTTAATACCTCATCCAGTTGCAGTTTCAACCTCCTGCAGAAATGTAGTCTTAACCTGTCAGTAAGGAATTTCTGATGGCAACAATGAGTCTACCACTTGAGCCCTCTCCATCCCCCAAAGGAAGATGAAGTAATCTTCATGATAAGACCCCTTGCTTGTCCCCCTAAGGAAAAGCTACCTTGTTTAGAACACTCCTTCTCTATTGTTAATAACTTTCTTGCCCTACTCTCCTTCATATTAAAACTTTACATTTTGTGCACCTCCTCAGAGCTCCCCTCTACTTGCTAGGTGGGGTGCTGCCAATTCACTAATCATTTAATAAAGTCAATTAGATCTTCAAATTTACTCAGTTGAATTTTGATTTTTAACAGTACCCTGGACATAATATGGTGAGAATGGCATTTTGTCACTGTGGTCTTCCTTCCAAAAATGCATGACCCCTTTCTGATCATGAGAAAAACATCAGACAAACCCAAATTAAGGGAAAATTTTACAAAATACCTGACCTCAAAACAACAGTTAATCAAAAACAAGGAAAATCTGAGAAACTGTCACAGCCATGGGGAGCCTAAGAAGACATGACAATGAAATGTAATGCAGTATTTTGGATGGGATTCTGGAACAGAAAAAGAACGTTTGGTAAGAAACAAGGAAAACTGAATAAAGTATGGACTTCAGTTAATTTTAATATATCAATATTGGTTCATTGTCACAAATGTACCTTACAAATACGAGATGTTAATAAGACAGATTGGGCATGGGGTACATGGGAATTTTTTTGTATTAAATTTTCTATAAATCTAAAACCATTCTAAAAAAAAAAAAAAGCTTACCACAAAAATCATTGTAAACCTGTGACAAATCCAGCTTGGTCATGGTGTTTGATGTTTCCTAGACATGACTGATTTCAATTTGCTAAAATTTTGGTTAGGATGTTTCCATCTATACTCAAGAATACAATGAGCTTGTTATTTTCTTTTTCAAAATGCCTTTGTTTGCTTTTGATATCTGGTTTTCACTGGCCTCCATAATACAGTTGGAAATACTCCTTTTTTTTTTTTTTTTTTTTTAAGATTTTATTTATTTATTTGAGAGAGAGAGAGACAGCGAGAGAGGGAACACAAGCAGGGGGAGTGGGAGAGGGAGAAGCAGGCTTCCCGCCGAGCAGGGAGCCAGATGCGGGGCTCGATCCCAGGACCCTGGGATCATGACCTGAGCCGAAGGCAGATGCTTAATGACTGAGCCACCCAGGCACCCCGGAAATACTCCTTTTTCAATTGTTTCAAAAAGTTTGTATACTCTTATATGAGGTTTCTAGAGTAATTGAATGCATAGAGGCAGAAAGAATGGTGGATGCCAGGGACTGGATGGATGGGGAAATGGAGATTTACTATAACAGGTACAGAATTTCAGGGGTGCCTGGGTGGCTCAGTTGGTTAAGTGTAGACTCTTGGTCTGGACTCAGGTCATGATCTCAGGGTCATAAGATCGAGTCCTGCATCAGGCTCCACGCTCAGCATGGAATCTGCTTGGGATTCTCTCTCCCTCTCACCCTGCCCCTCCCCCTGTTCATGCTCTAAGTAAGTAAATAAAATCTTTTAAAAAATAGGTACAGAATTTCAATTGGGAGAGATGAAAACCTTCTGGAGATGGGTGGTAGGGGTGGTTGTACAATATGAATGTACTTTATGCCACAGAACTGCAGACTTAAAAATAGGTAAAATAGTGAATTTTATGTTATATATATATTTTACTACAAAAGGTTGTTTAATATTTAGAATTATAATTTCCTTGAAATTGTCATAGAGCTTGTCAATAAAGTCATTTAGGTTTGATTTTTTTTCTTTTAATTAAAAAAAATTTTTTATTATGTTATGTTAGTCACCATACGGTACATCATTAGTTTTTGATGTAGTGATTTTTTTCTTTATGAGAAGATTTCTAACTGTTTCAGTTTTATTTATCCTGTCTGGAAATTTCAAGTTTGGGGAAATCATATTTTTATAGAAATTTATTCATTTCATCTAAGTTTTCAAAATTCTTGGTATATCATTGTTGATATTAGATCTCTTATCTATAGTTACATTTACTTTTTCATTCATAGTATTATTTGTTTTTGCCTTCTGTATTTTTTCCTTGATGATCTTTCCAGAGATTATTTACCTTGTTAGGTTTTTTTTGAAGAACTGACATTTGTTTTGTATTTTATCTTTGTTTTATAGTTAATTTTTTTAGATTTCTATTAATTATATCTTTATTTTTGAGTTTAGTGTGTAATCCTTCTCCTAA